TGCCGAGGACACGCTGACACATGCAGAGGACACACTTACAGACGCAGAGGACACGCTGACATATGCCGAGGACACGCTGACACATGACGAGGACACGCTGACACATGCCGAGGACACGCTGACACACGCAGAGGACACACTTACAGACGCAGAGGACACGCTGACAGATGCCGAGGACACGCTGACACATGCCGAGGACACGCTGACACATGCCGAGGACACGCTGACACATGCCGAGGACACGCTGACACATGCCGAGGACACGCTGACACATGCCGAGGACACGCTGACACACGCAGAGGACACACTGACACACGACGAGGACACGCTGACACACGACGAGGACACGCTGACACATGCAGAGGACACGCTGACACACGACGAGGACACGCTGACACATGCAGAGGACACGCTGACACATGCAGAGGACATGCTGACACATGACGAGGACACGCTGACACATGCAGAGGACACGCTGACACACGCAGAGGACACGCTGACACATGCAGAGGACATGCTGACACACAGAGGACACTCTGACACATGCAGAGGACAGACTGACACACGCAGAGGACACGCTGACACACACAGAGGACACACTGACACATGCAGAGGACACACTGACACATGCAGAGGACATGCTGACACATGACGAGGACACGCTGACACATACAGAGGACACGCTGACACACGCAGAGGACACGCTGACACATGCAGAGGACATGCTGACACACAGAGGACACTCTGACACATGCAGAGGACCTGAATTCAGTTCCCAGCACCCACACGTTGACTCACACCACCTCGAACTCCGGTGCTCGGGGATCTGATGCCCTCTTCTGGCACCTGCAGGCCCTGCACATAGGTGGTGCACATACACGAACACCTGTTGTTTTAGTTGGGGCACTGAGGAGATGGCTGTGGGTAAAGCGCTTGCTGTGCTAACATGAAGCCCTGAGTTCGGATCCCCAGCACCATGTAAAAGCGGGCATGGTGGCGGGCATCTGAAACCCCGGCACTGGGCGTCAGGGACAGGTGTGTCCCACAGGCTCACTGGCCAGCCAGTCTAGCAGGAACATGGAGCCCCAGATTCAATGAGACTCTACCTCAAAAATGAGGTAGCAGGCCACAGAGGAACATACGTGACTTTGACCTCTGGCCTCCACAGACATGCACCCCTGCATCCACATCCACACATGTACATGTGTGCATACACCATACAAACACTAAGAAAAAATTAAAGAAGGGCTTAAAAACACAGCAAGGGCTTGGGGTGTTACTCAGTATGTGAGAAGACAGTCCTGGTGCTGTCTTCTGTATGGAAGGGAGGGAGGAAAGAAGGACGGCGGAGGGGGAAGGAAAGACGCAGGACAGAGGGAGGGAGACGGACATACAGCCACCTCGGGAAAGTCAAGGGTCTTCAAGGTTACATGAGTGGGAAACCAGGGTCTTCTTAAGTAGGAACAGAGCTGCAGGGCTGTGTTCCTCAAGGGACGTGATGGGGACAACTCACTTGTGCAGCGCCAGGAAAGGGAAATCGAGTCACTAAGGCCAGCAGAGGCCAGGAGTAAGAACACCCATGAGGTGCTGTGTGCTGATGGGGGGAACCGGGAGGGGTTAGAGAGCGGGTGCTATCTTGGGGTCTAGGCAGAAAGCCGTACCCGCTTGCTTTGGGGGCAGCAGGCAAGGGAACGGGGTGGGGTGAAGTGGAGGCCACTAGAAGAGCTGAAACCGGGAGGGGAGCAGGGGGCAACCTTGTCCTTGGGGATCCAGGGGCCTGGAGAGACGCAATGGGACAGAGGGCACGTGATCATGTAAACACCAAAGATGTCCCCCAGTCAGAGGCGCATGTGGCCACACATGCAGAGAGAGTCAAGCCCACAGGGGACATTCACACGGCACACACACATATAGACAGACATCCACATGCCCACCAAAGAGGACTGAGTAAAGACCACACCAGGATGCTGTCCCTTCTACATACGTATAGGTGGGTATTCACACGCATGCGCGCGCGCGCGCGCACACACACACACACACACACACACACACACACACACGGGCAGCACCGGCATCCACATGATGCCACAGTCAATCCCCTAGACAGAAGTTCTGGGCACCACTATGACAGACACTCATGGCTCAGAACCCCAGCACCATGACCCTCTTGGGAAAGTGACACAGACAGGGGCCATTGCTCAATCTCCCCACCCTATCCAGCCCAGGGTCAGGGAGGAGCCAGGGCCAGACCTCGCGTGCCTGCCCACACAACTGCTGTCAGCTGTCACCAGCCGACGGCCGGCCACCAACGCAGACGGCTTGGATTACAAGGGATCTTACAAAACCTTTCCCATCCTTCAGGGCTCAGCTAAAGTCTCTCTGTGTGTGTCTCTCTCTGTGTCTCTCTCTCTGTGCGTATCTCTGTGTGTGTCTCAGACACACACACAGACACACACTTTCCAGGCCTGGCAGGCACATGGACCCTTTGAGAACTCTGGTTTTGTTAGCCCTAACTGGGTGGCCTTGAGCAAGTCACTTCGGCTCTCTGGGCTTCGTTTCCACCTATGTAGAGTGAGGAGAAAAAGACCGGATCATGTGTGAATCACCAGGCATATCCCCTTAGCAGCCCTGCCCCCAGAGAGGGCACTGAGGTTGGTGAGAGCCGCAGCCTCCTCTGGGCATGGAGGGCCAGCTGCACACACGATCACCTCCTGCTCCTGCTGGGCCTTTCCTGCAGGGCAGGATCCTGGCAGAGCAAGGCGGCAAACGCTTTCTTTCCTCGCTCCTACAGAGGAGCAGGAATCCACCTGTGAGGGCTGGAGAGGTGGCTCAATGGTTAAGAGCACTTGCTGCTCTTACAGAGGACCAGGGTTCAGTTTTCAGCAGCCACATGGTGGCTCACAGCAATCCATAACTCCAGTTCCAGGGGTTCCAATGCCCTCTTCTGACCTCTGTGGGCACTAGGCATGCATGTGCAGGCAAAACACTTATACACATAAAATAAATAAATCTTCGAAAAACAAAACAAATCAAAACAACAAACCCAACTGTGATACAACTTAGAACATACAGGACCAGGCAGCCCTCAGGACAGAGGTCTGGGAACCCTGAATTTCTATTCCTATCTTCGAGGACAGCTGAGATGGATTCCTGTGTATTGACAAGATCTGAGGGCAGAAAGGGGCCCTGGCTGAGGTTTCCTCCTGTCTCATCTCCACTTGTCTGGGCCCACACCTCAGCCAGAGCGGGCCCCTGAGCTGCATGATGGAAGCCTAAGTGTACCTTCTCTTGCCTCTCGGGCAGACCTGCCAACGCCAGCCCAGGATGACACACTGATTTCCATTGTTCTGAGACCACCATGGAGGCCTACACAGAACAAGAGGGTTGGGTCCCAGCCCCCACCTCAACCTGGAAACTGCTAGGCCCAACCTAGAACATCAGCCTCCAGAAAGGCGCCAGGCTGGGGTGGAAGCCTCTCCCTGAGGCACCAGGCTGAGGTGGAAGCCGCTCCCTGAGGCACCAGGCTGAGGTGGAAACCGCTCCCTGGGGTACCTTCTAAGCCCTGTGTCTGTGCCCTCAAATGTCTGAGGCCCCTTGGAACTCAGTGGACCTGCTAGAGGCTAGAACAACAAACAGCCCTGGGGCCCCAAGGGTCCTAATGCCTTGAGAGCCAAGGTCCTCCACACTGACAAAGTCAGGTGTGGACACAGATAGAAGTGGGCACACAGCCACATACTGTACCTACCACCAAGATCTAGGCTCATCAAATCTGCAGCCCGAGGCCCCAGCCTTGGTGAGCCTGACCAGCCTGCTGGGCCGAGGTTCATGGCCCTGGCTGGATCAGACAGTGGGCAGTCCTGAGAGGCAGCTGGGGCCGGTGTGGACCTGGTTAAGGCCTGAGGCTTTTGAGAGCCAGGATGACAAAGGTACCCAAACCTGAGAGTGACTCACGGGCAGGCCCCCCAGGTAGCACAGGGCCAGCTGGGCACAGGAGAGGCAGCCCTGAGTGTCCTGACCCCCCTCTAGTGCAGGCTGTCCCAGCTCCAAGCCTGAGCTTACACTAGTCTCCCATTACAGCAGACAGGCCTTCTCCATCCCACTCCCAACCACAGACAACTCCACGGAAATGCTCCCTCCCAGGTTCCAGAAGGAACTGGTTCCTGGGCATGGAGAAACTGAGACTGAAGAAGAGGACTGGCCAAGGCCTCTCAGCACTCACTCACCATGCCGGGCTGTGCTCTAGGCTCATCGGATCTGCAGCCTGAGGCCCCAGCCTTCGGGTCCCCAGAGCCAGGTGGGCATACTGCCAGAAGCTTAGCCCGTGTGATGGCTTTTCTGGGGAGTCACTTTGACCTGGGTACACAGAAGTCACACCCTTCTTCCCCTCCTGAGCCTGGGTGGGTCTGAGCTGAAGGTATCTGATAACCTCCCAGGGCATGTGTGGGGCCCTGACCGCTGCAATGGAGTCCTGGTCCTGCTGAGCAGGAGGCCCCATGACGGAAAAACCCAGGCCCGGATGTGCGCAGACATATAGCACCGGAGGGCAAAGAGGACTCCAAGTGGCCTCCAGGGTCCGGTCTGTCTGCTTAGCCCTGCACCTCAGCAGGAAAAGGCCTGACCACCATCCCGAGTGTCATAGACTGTGTGATTTCTCCATAAGGGGGTTCGTAAGAATCGGGGCCAGGCCCATAGGAATGCAGGCAGTGGTCTGGGAGGAAGGTGCTTTGGGAGCTCCTGGATAGGTTTCCCAGTGTCCATCCAGGGGAATATTAGATAAGAGGACAGGGGAATTTCTCTCAGTGTCCAGAACTCTCTAGGTCATCCTGTAAGTAACTAAGAATGAACAGACTCTAGACTAGAGATGAACAGCTTCGGTCGGGAAGCATGTGACTTATCACGAATGTGCCGGAGGTCTCAGCTACTCATCTGTCACACATACAAACTGCCTGAAAAGCCAAGGAGGTGGGAGAGACACTGGCTGTCACTCAGAACCAGAGGGCCCAGCTCAGCAAGTCTTTTATTTATTTTAACAGTCATAAAAACAAGTGAGATGTAAAAACCCTCTCCTCGGGAGCCCGGGAAGGGAAGGCACTGTCGGAGCTCACCTGGCCAGGAAGGCAAGCCAAGCTGGAGACCAGAGCCCAGGCCAGGGCAGCAGGACGCAGCCAGGTGACAGGGGATGGCTCGAGCCTCACGCAGGGACTGTGCAAATACTGAGGTCATGTGGAAAGTGATGGGTTCGGGGTCCAAGCCCCAAGCACCAAGGTGTCGTCTGGGGGCAGATATCTGGAGCCAGCACCTGCCCACCGTGCCTAGGGGTGCACACATGGCCACAAGTGCCAGCTCCGTGCACCTTACATATAGACAGCAGAACCAAGGTCCCTTGGCAGGATCAGGGGCTCATTCTGCAGCTTCGGGAAAGAGCTCAGAAAAGTCTCTGAGAGCCCAGTGGTAAGGGAATGCTGGGAGCCTGGTGTTCCCTAGGGACCTTTGGAAGTCAGGCCTTCTTGCCTTCGCTGGAGTACATCAATGACACTGCTGATCTCATCTTCAGGAACCTGGGGTAAGGGCACAGCATGAAATGCCAGGGATGCCCAACTCCCTAAATCAGCTGGGATTTCTTCCTGTCCCCAACCTCCAGCCCAGCCCAGGCACTCACCAGGGCATGGTCAAAGTTGAAGGTACTGATATAATAAGCAGAGATGTCAGCAGCCGCCAGGGGACCGGCGATCTGGGCCACAATCCCACACTCATCTGAGGGTTGGAGACACAGTTGGAGCTCAGCACATATGCTGTGGATACCCATAGACTTGCCCTGACCCCCAATATGGGGGGGGGGTGAGTGGTCCTCACCGAAACCCAGAGGCTGTCCCCCGATGCGTACCATCCTCCACAGCTCTCCAGAGGAACTGGTCAGCAAGAGGTCACTGGGGAACCTGGGGAGGCAGGTGGGTGATGGGAAGGGTACCCATGCATCCCTATCTGCCCTGATCGCCGGGGCATGTCCTCCTGCCCACCACAGAGCCTGGCACCCTACCTCCCCATTTCCTGAGGCTGGCTGAGGGGCTATGGCCTTCTTGGGGTCATGGAAGGGGTTACATACTTTTTCTGGGTCTCTGCGTCCATAACAATGGAGATGTACCCCTCAATGAGGGAGAAAGCGAAGAATGGGATGGAGCTTGACTCCGGACCACCTGAGGCTGCCTCCTTGGGGACACTGGAAAGGGATGACAGGGTCAAGGGCTCTGCCAGGCACATGGCCCTCTCCATTTCCTGACTACCAGAACACAGAGGAGGAGCCAGAATGGATGGTTCTGGAAAGGCCCTTGTAAGAGAATCCTGATTTCCTGAGGGATGAGCCCTAACTGCCAAAGACCCAGGGCCTTGGGCAGAGTGGTTCTGTCAACACCTCTGGCTGAGGGCTAATGGGCTGTCAGGAACCCTACGACACTGAGGAGGATACAGAGTGACAGAAGGGATGGATGAGACAAAGGTGAGCATGCACGGAGCACTAGAGTGAGGCCAGAGACGGAGTGCATGCATGGCCCACCTGTGTGAGTAGAAGAGGACATCAATGAGGGTGGTGGCAATAGCTGGCAATGTCTCAGGGTCCAGCGTGAGGACACAAAATCGGTTCTGCGGGCTCTGAATGGGATGCACCGTGGGACTGGGCCCTGCTCAGGATACATGGGCCACAAGGTGAAAAAGCAATCCTGGGCTGGGGCGACCCCTGGTGGCTGGGCCGACCCTGGTGGCTGGGCAGGGAAGGGCCTGGGTGTACCTATCCCATCTCACATTGAGAAATGGTGTTTGCTGGTCCGACCACCCAGCCCATCCATCCCATCCCTTTACAGGACAAGCCCTCCTGTGGGAAAAGGTCCCACCTAAATCTGGGTGTTGGCGGGCAGACCTTACCGTGCTGGGCTCGGGGAAAGCCGTTGCTGGAATCGTCCTTGGCAACAGGCACAGGCTCCCCGCCTACTTCACGGTAGATCTGGAACTCCTGGGCCAGTGTGTGGATCACAACAGATAGGTCCTGCTCCCGTACCTGGGTCAAGGCAAACGACACACATTACGCAGCCCCAGGCACCTCTGCTTACGCTCTGCAGCAGCACCTGCCCAAACCCACCAGGATGAAGTCTGTCTGGTACGTGGACAGCATCAACACAGACACGTGGTGCTCAGCCAGTGGGGCAATGACAGACCGGGCAATCTTGGTAACTCCAGCAGCCTGCATCACCGCACCACTGTGAGATGATACGTTCATCACCAGCCACGCGGCCTCGGCAACTTGCAGGAACTCGGAGGGGGGTAGCTCTGTGGGCAGAGAGGTACATGCCTGGTTAGTCTGAACCTTAGTGACTTCGTTCTAGCAAGGCAGGTCAGGAGTTGTACCCCATTCAGCCTCGGTGGGATGCAGGTGTTCTCAAACTCAGGATTAGGGTCAAGTCTCAGCCTTAGCACTTTGCTGTGCGATTTGAGGCCAGTGGTTTTTCATTGTTTGTTTGCTTTGAGACACGGTCTTACAATGTAGACTAGGCTGGGCTTGAACTCAAACTGGTCCTCTTGCCAAAGCCTCCTAAGTGCTGGGATTCCAAGCCGTGTTTAGTCTGTTTCCTATCTGCAAAATGGGATATTCCTCGGGACTTTTCTGAGGCTGAATGGGCTTCATCACACCACCAGAGGGCGCCGAGGGATCTACTGATGGGTAGGCGCTCCCTTGTAGGCAAGAGATTTCCCTACAGAACGGGGAAACAAAGTCCTTTGGGAAGGAGGCTAGGCCAAGCTCCAGGTGGCTGGCTTGAGACTCGAGGCCTTAGAGGACAGGCCAGGCAGGCAGAAATGGGAGCCAGAAGTCTGCTCCTGGTCCCAGTGCTGAACAGGGACAAGGGCCAGTGTGGCTGTTGTTCGCCCAAGCACAGCCAGGAGGCCCCAGGACCCTGCTCTGGGCTTGCTGCCTGCTCCTGCATTCCTTCCCCAACCCTCAGACTCCTAGCCTTCCCAGGCCAGGAAAGGAGAAGCTGGTTTTCACTGGAGAGACAACTCCAAGAAGAAATAATGACCAGGGGTTAAAACAGCGACAGAAAACCCCCTTAATCTGGCCTAAAAACTGGCCTGGGACTCATTTCCAGCCCTTTGTGGGCTTTAAGTTTAGAAAGCTCTCATTAAATACTGTTAAACTGCCATGACTACATCTTACATAAGAGAAAACAGTACTTAAGCAAAGAGTGGAGGATTCGAACCCAGACCCATGCCTTTGAGATCGAAGCTCTTGGGAAGCTAGATCGATTCCCTGCGCCTTGTAAGAATACGGTTTTGAAGTGAGCAAGGGGCCAGTTCCCACCTTTAAAGCCCTCCTCATCCACCATGAGTGTGTAATCTTCCGGGGTCTCCGTCAGGCTGAAGAACTTGCACCTAGTGGGAAGGGAAGGGGTGGGAAGACTTTCAGGCTGGACAGGACAAGTGAACTTTGTTCCAGCAGCACTAAAGGACCCCCCGCCGGGTGCCTTCCCGACCCGCCCTCAGGCCTCAATTTCTTCCCTGGAGGAACGAGGTCTGGGTCCCACCTCTCCGATCTCCCGCTGTTTTCCAACTCCAGATCTCCCCTCCCTTCCACACCCTAGAGGTGTCGGGCTTTGGGTTCCCCTAGACAACTCTTAAACTCTACATGAGGCGTTTGGGAAAGGGCTAACGCAGGGCGAGGAAGGCATGCTCCATTACACTGCCGCCTACCCCAGGCAGTTTGCACCTTGACAAGCCCGGGGAGGAGACCTCTCCAGGCCGGATAGGCGGCGTCTCAGAAAGGGTAGGCCCCGGCCGGATGGCAGCCAGAGCGGACAGCGTCCCCACCCGGTCCCCGCTCCCTCGCGGCGACCCTAATCCTCCGCCCCTGACCTAGAGTGACAGAGGAGCCCCCACCCGTCTGACCTGCGCCCCTGAACCCGGGTGCGCACCGGCTGCGATGGGGCAGGAAGAGCAGCTTGATGAGTGGGTGGGTGTAGAGCCAGAGGCCCGAGCGGGCGAGGCTCAGTACCCGCACCCGGTGCTCTAGGATGTGAAGTTCCATCGCAGTTCGCGCTGCCACGGCCCCGCCGCCAGCTAGACCCAGGCAGGAGGCGGGGCGGCGCCCGGTTTAAAGAAGCGGCGGTGAGGGGCTCCACACCGCCCCGCTACGCCGCGGGCCCGCCCAGCCAGCGACCCACTCGGCGGCGGCCACGCCCCTCAGCCGCTACGAGGTGGCCACGCCTCCTCCCGAGCCCGGCCTTCCCGGCCCTGCGGGCTGCCCTCGAACCCCGCCTTGGCCTGCTGTCCATTCCTCTAGCCCCAGTCCGGCGATCACAGCCTGCTCCTACCCCTCGGTGGCGTCCAGGCCACGCCCCGGCTACGCCCTTTCCGCTGGCCGCCTGCCGGTGTTGGGTTTGGGAACGTGCCGGAAGCTCGGGGTCCTGTCTATCCTCCGGGCCTGCACGTGGGCTTTATGGTTTGAGGCCCTTGAGACTCAGGAGGGCTTCAAGACTTGCCGGAGTTCGGCTGGGGCCGGAATGCTGTCCACAAATCTCTGGAGCGTGGAGGCCGGAGACTCGCGAGCGGTACAGCTGTCCTTCCTTTTATTGCTGGAGGCAGGGATTGCAGAGCTGAGCAGGCTGATAGGGACTAAAGAGTACTAAGCAAGGGCTGCCCTGGGTTGGTATTGATAACACTTCATCCCCTACCTTGCCATCGTTTTGACCAGCTGAAACCTGGCCTGCATGTCCCAGTTTTTTAATCACCTGACTTCCAGAGTAGAATGCACCCCTCTAAGGGGAGGCACAGAAAAAGCCCTATCACCAATCTGAGGAACATACTGTGGGCTTGGAAGCTTGAGGTTATTCCAGGGAAACAACCTGGAAGTACCTGAGCTGGGAACGCCCAGGGCTCAGACATTGAGAGGACAGGCCCTTGCATTTGAGGCTTCCTGGGTATTCAGGCCAGAGACTTGAGCCTTGTAGAAGTCTCCTTAAAGCTTGTCACCATTAGCTGAACTCAACTGGTCTGAGCACATCTAGATTTGCTTCAGATCCAAGAAGGCCCCAAGCACTGGCAGACACCCCAGGTATGATCAAACATCTGAAGGTTTAAGAAGACCCCAAGGCTTAGCAGGAATGAACAAGCACAGGTTGGTTCCATGGCAGGACACAGCATGCTCCAAGGGGCCCTTATTTGGCCCAGGCACTCAAGCCTCAGCTTGGAGGCTTTGAACAAGGTAGGTTAAAGTTGGCCTCAGGTGTGATCAGGACCTAGCAGGCCCATGCAGGACCTCACGCTCTGGGCCCTGTAGCACAGGCAGACGAAAGCTGGGCTCAGCCCTGTTCCTGGCTTTTCTAACTCCAGATGATTCTCATGGAACACTGTGCAGCCACCACATCCTGGCTTGTCCTCTGGAGAACTGGGGGGAGGGGGGAGTGCTTCCCAAAGCTGAGTCCATCTCACCATGGCAGGTGTGGAGAGTGGGAAACCACAGGGGTGAGAGGCAGGAGGCAGAGAGTGAGTGAGCTGTCCAGAGCCTCTGGTGACCATTCATTTTCTAGCCTCGGTATCCCCAGCTGTGCCAGGACATGGTCTAGGCCCAGGCTGTGTCTGAAAGCTCCCAGCGAGCATCTGTTTCTCCCTCCCTGTTCCCTCTTATGGTCTGGCCCAGCTTGGTCTCAGGCCAGGAACAGCCACTATTGTTTGACTAGAAAAGCTGCTTCCTCAGCAGAAGGGGGGCCGTCTCTCAGGGACACCCTGTTCTTGCTATTACCAGTTATCAGGTGGTCACTGAGCACCTGCCTGCCCCTCCATGGCAGTCTGCTCACTTGGGTGAGGGGCTTGGGGTACAAATGTGGCTCTTGGAGGGAGAGGGCATAGAACTCCTTCTGTCAGGCCCAGCCCAGCCTAACAAGTGGACCGTGTCAGCAAACGGAAAGTAGCACTGTATCGAGGAGGCCAACTTCTCCCCTTACCTGTGTCAGACATCTACAGTGCCTCACCCTGGTGGCAGCCCCTGATACAGCGGGAAGTGCTTAGAAGTTAATTGGGATCTGAAGTGGCATCGAGGCCTGGCCCTGGAGGAGGAAGAGCTCTAAGCTACCTGTTCAGGGATTCACTCCCAACCCCCCAATAAAAAATCAGGTACCAGGCCAGGCACACCTCTTTAATCCCAGCACTCAGGCAGATCTCTGCTGAATTCAAGGTCATCCTGGTCTACAAAGTAAGTTCCAAGACAGCCAGGGCTACACAGAGAAACCCTATCTCGAAAAGGCAAAAAAGAAAAGCAGGGACTGTGGGGATTATTTCCTGCTCTGCCCGGTGGTGGACTTCAGCTCTGGAGTGACTCATCTATGTCAGAAGATAGACATGGCATCAGAGAGAATAGAGCCTAGAACAGGAGCTGGCTCTGGACTTCATGCCTCCTGTATCGAAGGTATGTTTCAGAGGGGTTCCTGCTGGGTTAGGGGCCCAGGATGAAGGGTGATATCCCTTCTGGATCCCTAGCTGCACACCAGCTCTCTATACAAGCCTGTTTATTTCCATACAAAACCATGTTTCTATTTTACACAAAGAGTACCCCACCGCTTCCCCGCATGTCAGCACCCTAGCCCTGGGGAACACCCCAGAAGGATGGGCTGGGTGAGACCCAACTCATTCGGCCATAGCTTCTGCCTGTGCTGGCTGGGCCAGCTTGACTCAAGAGAAAATAAATAAGGAGGCTCAGGCAGAATCTGTACTGGGCCAGCCAGATTCTATCCCAGCCCAATGGCCAAGCAGATGGGCCTTCAGGTACACAGGACCTGGAGTGCTGTCAGTCTTTGAACCGTGTAAGATGTGTGGAGACCCCACCTGGAGGCCTGAACTCCCGGGGTTACAAGTAGGTGTCCTCACTCTCCTGGGAGGTCAGGCTCTCCTGCGAACGGTGGTAGACTAAGTCCTGGGGAGCAGAGTCCTGCGGGACTGGGTCCTGGGAGACTGAGTTCTTTGGGGGCACATCCTGAGGAGGACAGGCATCTCCTGAAGCAGTCACCACTGTGCCTTGATTGGGGCCTGGGGACTTTCCCATCTGCCCACTGGCCTTTGTCCTCCTCTGCTCCTTCTGAATCTGCTTGGATGGCTTAGCTTTGGAGCTGAGGAGGGTTGTATCTGGGGGTAGGCGGATGGACGGTGAAGGTTGCAGGGCAGCTCGGGGACCAGGCTCTGCATCCAGGATGGCCTTGGCACCATGCATCCTGGGCGGAGAGCGACACTCCAGCTCACCACGGGTCTCTTGCCAGCGCCGCAGCTGGATGAGGTGCTCCCGCTCAATCTGGCGCTCTGTCACAGGCAACTCTATCACCTTTGGGACAATAAGGGGTATGTGAGCACAGAAAGAATGCCCTTTCCCTTCTGCCTCCAATCCTAGGCTCTCCTGCCCACCAGCAACCCCTAACTGTGTCTGCTAAAAGCTGAACCCAGGATGGATATGGTTGTGGTTTGAGTGTCAAACGTGAGTGACCCACTGTCTCAGAAGAAAAGGCTACCTACAGTTAGTTCACAGGCCACTCACCTTCCATCTTGGACAGAAGGGGCCAGACTGAAATGGGTAACCCCACTCTCAGCCAGTATTGCCCCCTACTGACCAGGGCAACCTGGCTGTCCAGGCTTCAATTCCAGTTCCACTAATTTTCAGCTGGTTACTAAGAGGAGTCACTTTGAAATTCTGCCTGTATGAGCCTCTATTTCCTCAAACATAAAATGGGGACAATGCTGGAAGTGGCATACAAAATGGCCTTGTATGTCTGCCCCTGCAACATGCACTAGCATCAGCCTGGCCTCCCCCCCCCCCCCCTGCCCCAGAAGCTGGTCATGCCTATGTCTCTTAATTTGTAGCCCCCCAAAAACAAATGTACACAAAGAAAAATGAGAGAGCTGTGGTCTACAGCTCTTCTCTACTCCCAAAGTGGATTAGCTAAGGAAAGTACTGCAAAGCTAGGCCTCAGTGCTCCACTCGCCTAGCAAAAGGATGAGGTCCATCCACCTTGACCCGAGCTGACCAACCCTGGGAGCAGGGGCATATAAGGCCTCCTCCAAAGCCATTGCCAGCTCCCCTTCCCTCCGATAGCAAGTGGGAGGTGTGGGCCGCACCTCTTGGACCAAGAAGGCTTCCTGCATAATCTTGGGGCTGAGGCTCCGCAGCTGCTCGATGGTTTCATACTGGCCCTGGCAGGCTTTGAGCTTCTCAGGGGAGCCTAGTGCATGCTTCAGCAGTACCAGCCCCACACGGAAGATGATCTTGACTCCTGTATGGGGCAGGTGATGAGTCCAAGGGAGGCTTGTGGGCTTCTTTTGCACCCCCCACAATCCAGCATAGCCTGGTACCTTCACAAAAGAACATGTCCCAGACTCGCAGCACGGAGCTCCAAGGCAGGGTACGTGCAAAGGCACACATGAACCACTCTGTCATGTACAGCAGGGGGTCGATCTTCTGCCGGCTAAGGTGCTTGTGAGCCACAGGGGACACCTTCTGTAGCAGTGAGAAGAGGATCTCGCCATCCAGCTGGATTGCCTCCTGAAGAAACATAAGGCCACAGAGCCATGAGTACAGCCCACAGGGGCTCCTAACGCTGGGTCAACATTAACTCATCAGGTAGTAGAGCCTAGAGCACTGGCAGACAGCTGAACAAACCTGCAGAATGGGGAGGGAACAATGGGGCTGAGTATCCCAGACAAGGAAGGAACCGGAGCTCCAGCCTGTCAAGGCCAGGAGAGGGCCATGCATGGGCTGAAGGCTGAGGGAAAAGCATTCTGGAGGAACAGAATGGAGCTTCAAGCAGAAGCTCCTCCCACCCCCACCCCCTTCAAGAAGGGTTCTCTGTAACCATGGCTGTCCTGGAACTCACTCTATAGACTAGGCTGGCCTTGAACTCACAGAGATCCGCCTGTCTCTGCCTCCCAAGCACTGGGATTAAAGGCACCACCATTGCCTGGCTCAAGCATGAGCTCTTAAGCCTATGTCAAGGTCAAGGAGGGAGGGACCAGGAGCCCTGAGGAATTTTGATACTGCCAAGTGAGACCCACTGCCTCAGAGAACATCAGAGGTCAGAGGCACAGATGGAAAGATGTAACTGATGAAGCTGGTGCCTGAGTGGCCTCTAACAGGTCTTGGGACTTTAGCCTAGAGTGGCTATGAGAAAAGTGAGAAGGCCTTGGAGTGGCCACAGAAGGCATCCAGCCTAGAGTGTCCCAAGCCAGCAGGTACTCACCAATTTCTCACTATAGTAGCCAGGCAGGTACTTCTCGCAGACTTGTACCAGACACCAGAAGGCTTGCTGTGGGTAAGAGAGGTGTAAGCCCTTGTGGCTGGGGTCAGGTCCCCTGCCCGCCCACCCTGGTCCTGGGTACCTCAGCGGGCATGTGCATGAGCAGCACAGCAGCAATGGGTGCCTGGGCCTGGCAGTAGCCCTCCTCGGGGCGGTACAGCGTGTAGGCCTTCAGCACACGGAACAGGTCCTGCTGGCTATGGAGAGGACAAGCAGGATAGGATGGAAGGTATGACTACTGCCCACCACTTCACCTGTACCTCACTGGACCAGACCTGCCTCGGAACCTGCCCTTCCCTGGAAAGGATGGTGCTTGTGGTCACCAATGGGTCAGTCTCCCCCTGTGAGACCCAAGGATAGGGCCCAAAGAGAAAGCAGGGATTGGGCCAGGGCTGGATAGCAGATAGATACAGACTGAAGAGGGGCTAGAGAGGGCCCCCTTGCTAGGCAGCTCTGTCCCCTTGCCTAGTACATCACCCCCTCCTGCCTATTGTTTTGGTCCACCAACCTCTCTCCCTACATCAAGAAGGCCTAACCAGGAAAGTCTAACAGTCTAGAGAGAAATGATGCAAGCAGCCCAAAGAGTCCCAAGTGGGATAAGCACACCACACACCACACACCACACCACAGAAGGTAAAGGCTAACAGCAGGGTTTGGGGCACATGCCCCCAAGATCAATGTACCTTCCCTAACAGCCTAAGAGACAGCCTAGAGCCACCTCCCAGCCCACATGCTTAGGATGCTTACCCATGGCCTCCTCGGGACACAAACATCTCATGGAAAGGGAACTGCCGGTGCAGGTCACGCTCAATCACATCTAGCCACTTGGGGTCCCCAGGAGACATGTCCAGCTCCTGGAAACAAGGACATAATGTCAAGAAGCAGTGGACACTCCTGGTAGGAGATAACTGTTTTGGGTATCAGATGAGGCACTAGAGGACCCAATCTCTGAACCAGGCCTTCCTGAAGACAGACAAGAAAACCCAGAGGCAAGAACAGCAGAACCCTGGGAAGCCTGAGAGGGATCCTAGCTCTCAGAAGACTTGTTTGTTTTGTTTTGGTTTTGGTTTTTGAGATAGGGTTTCTCTGTGTAGCCCTGGCTGTCCTAGAACCCACTCTATAGGCCAAGCTGGTACTGAACTCAGAGATCCACCTGTCTCTGCCTCCCGAGTGCTGGGATCAAAGGCGTTAGCCACCACCACTGGGCTCTTAGAAGATTCTTATGAGCAAGTATCTATCCTGGCTGTGGCTGGAATCACAGAGTCAGGACTCTGTTTATCTAGGGATAATGTCATGTCCTTCAGATAGAAGGCTTCTTCTTAACAATGGCTACAGGTGTTACCACTGCTCAGAGCCAAATGCAGAGCTGAGTGGGAAAAAAACATGGGACTCATTGGCTCCTTCCTACCCCAAAACAGATCTTGTCATAACACCCTGTTCACAGATGAGAGAACTGAAGGGTCAAAAGAAAGTTGCACAAGGCCTAGAGTACGAAAATCATGGAGCTGGGGCAGGAAAGCCAGTGTGAGTCAGAGCCACCAAACCCAGATTCTCTGCTGCCTGCATCCCATGTTACAGGTATCACCTGTTCAGGACTTCATTACAGGTCTGCCGACCTATCCGTCAGGCTATATAAGTGCTTGTCTAGGTACTGAGGTTTCAACAGTTTTACTTCTTCAAACCCTGAGTGTGTGTACTTTTGAAAAGTCACCAAGCTCTAACAATAAAAAAG